GTGTTTTCAAAGAGTGAAAAACGCGGAAACTTCATAATGGGCGCCATGGACGGGTCCAGTTCCGAAACCTAGCTTTCGAATTTGAACTTGGGCATCAAATTACTCTAGTCAGAGCAAGCGGTGATAACTGACGGGAAGAAGCAGTGACCAACGCACATGATCTTATAGGTGAAATATCCGAAGAGAGTATTTCTTCCGTGCGTTGGTGGTCATGCGGTAAAACAGCGCAAAACATGCTAATTCGTACACAACAACAGGAATATGGTCGACCAGATGTCTGAACAGAAAAGACGTTTCAGCCAGTGTCTCGCGGGCCTTCTTCAAGGTTGAGAGATGAGTCGGCTTCGGTAGTTCTTTCTGCGAAATTGGAGAAAAAAGTTCGCTTTGAGGCACCAACCGTTAGAATAACTATGAATAACAGAAAGAACTACTGAACCCAATCCAACTCGAAGAAGGCTGGTGAAACACGGGCCGAACTGTCGGTACCGCTCAATCAATCGATTGATCATACTGCCTGATCTATGTATCGGCAGATCGCGTTTAACGCTGTTTTCAGTAAGACTAAAATAATAGGTTAACGAAATTACGACAGCAGGGAGCCAACAAACCTTATGTCTAACATGTAATTCAGAGAGTCAAAAGACTGTAATACTAACATATTAGACGAAATGACTCGGGACTGATAACCATATTTATCCTGTCAGTCACCTACGAAAGCACGACAAATACTTCGGCATTGTACTGTCCTCCCTCTGGAGAGAAAACGAGCGTTCAGATATGTTCTGGGCCTCAAATTAAATACTGCGATTACGAAACTATCGCTGTAAGGGAGGGCGATGACGCAAGAGGTGGTCGAAAGTCCAGTTCAATGTCCGCCGCAATGTCAACCGCATCACGGTGACACAGCGAATGAATGAAACAGTTCGATCATCATCGAAAGGCAAAACGAACGGCAGCAAACGGGCGAACGAAGAATGAAGAAACCTACTTTTAGCGCCTGTACGTAGCAAGGGTTGAGATGCAACAGTCCAAGGCGAAGCGGAATAACCAACAGCAAAGGGCGCCAACAGTAGTTCGGCGGTTTCTGTTGCGACTGAAACTGCGACCGTGAGGCACAGTCCGTCTCACTGTTCATATTATCATGTTCCAAGACAGTATAGCGGCTAAATGATGCATTTTGCTGACGAGGAACACCAGGCAGCGGCGATTTACAAATCAGTTTCACATCCTCTATTACAACGGCGCTGTTCATCGCTATATGGATCGCAAATTTATTCCACGTGTCGTACATGGATAACTTCTTCAAAACCTGCATAACCGTGTTCGGGCCGAACCATTCTCCAATTCCCTTGCCTTCCGACTCTCCCATCTGAGCTAAAACGAATTTAGTTTAAAATTTCAACGTCACTTCAAATTCGAACACCGGAAACTTGAGCACAGCGAACATATGCCGCCAGCAACGAAAGACCGGTATCTTCTCATGGAACGATTGAACTATCTCAAACAACAAAAAATTCCAATCAGTAACGGCGTACCGCCGTTGCCGCATTTATTCTCCATTTCCTCATCCCTAACGGGTCAAAAACAGAATACAAAATGTCTCACGCATTTCTGACATATGCTCTCTGATGCTTCGGTCAATGATTTTCAGAAAACTCAAAAACGGACAGAAACATCGCTTACCTATCTGATGAATCGAATACAGTGAGTTTTTCTTGTCTTGAAACATCCGCAGTATTTTCGCGTATGACGCATCCTGTTGGTTTGGACTCCATCGCCAGTCTAAACGATAGCACCACGTACAATGCTGACGGGAAGTAGCAAATTAAATTGACTTGAATTACGCCAGCACTCAAAACAGATCATTCACTTCATCAATAATGAGGACATACAGCATCACTAACTGAAAGATTACTTCCATAGCTCTATATAAAATGACAATGTCCGTTTCTGAAAAATCATGCACCGGAAGCAATGTTGAATTAGAATTCAAACGGAAAAGAGGAACATAGACGTTGTAACAATTTCAACGCTAATACATTCAGAAAAGTTCTTTAACTTTACCTGATGCATTCCGCGGTTGTGATACCTCTATAATCGAACTTCGGGGCAGCCTTCGCCGGAGCGGGCAACGACTACAGGACAGGATCGCATGAAATTGAGAAGTACAGTAGTATGCATACTTCTGTCATAACGGCAGTCATAAAAATCTGTCATGAATCCCGAAACGGTGAGGTACCATAGCAATGGTAACCTGTGTCAACAGAGCAATTTACGGTTTTACAGCAGTTATATCTGTGAGAAACTATCATTACTGTTTCAAGGCTCTACCTCAATAGTATTCACCGTTTATATCCGAAACAATGCTAAACACAGCTCATACCTCGTCCAAGATGTTTCATGACCATCGCCTGAGCGAGAAGCATCTGTCCGCATCGCAACATGCAACCCCAACCGTAGTCGCTAGTGGGGCCAGTCCCGCCTAAAATATACAAACACTACAATAAACTATCAAAAGCCTTCAACTTTAGAAAAGTTAAACTAGAGCTTAAGCCTGGTTTAGCATCTACTAGCATTTGCACATACAAAGCAGACATAATCGCAAGAATTGGCTGCTTCCTTGTTCTACGGCCATGGTAATGTCATACTATAAAATATTCCGAGTTCCTCAAAATTTATGCAGTGTGCTTCTCTTACAGAACTATTCCTTCTATGGGAATGCTGGAGAAGTAGTGATGACTACTAGCTGAATCAAACGGGGACGTGACCGCTTTATATGTCGTTGATTTCAACTACCAAACGAATACAGCAACTACACGCCCATGTCTAGTTTTGAGTCAGAAACAAAGCCCGCCTCGCATGCATGTGGCAGTGCGACTTCCCGAAGCTCTGGCATTTCACAGTTATGCGACTGACAATATACATTCGATAGTACGTTCGGTGTGCTTGGGATGATCACAGGCACATGAACCACAATCCTCATACTGCTGGCTGGACAGAGGTATACGTTTCACTGCAACCTAACCTGCTGGATTGAATAAATATGCGAAAGTTGAGTGATCCCTCGTTTGCAACTACAATCAGGAGTCATTTTGGCAAGATACAACTTGGATTACTTCCCTGAACTCTTTCATAACGTCGATCTACTCATAATCCAAGTACTAATTACGTTAAATAGACAGATAAACTGCTTATCAACTTGGTGGTATCAGTTCTCGTTCCATACTATAAGTTTCGTCTGCAAATCTTTCTTAAATACTGCGGTAGACAGAAGCATGAAGATGGCGCATGAATAATGATGAAGAGAATTGTTATGGAGCAACAAATGGATTATTTATAACTGTGCTGCAACCTCCTAGGAAGAGTTAAGCCGCCGCCAAATGAAAGAAGGGCATACAATAGAAATGACAAGCTTTCAGGGCCACAAAATGGGATTACGACTTGCTAACAGTTTCATGTGACAACATTTGAAAGTCAGGAATACATCAGTTCGAGACAAACTGTAAACTGTAAAACTGTATAAACTGCAAACTGCACTTTCTTCAGTCGAGAGATCGCTGACGTGCTGACCTGGATATGAGAAGAGAATGCCATAGACTATCAGCCTCACCCGGACAATGCCATAGCGAAGACGGCCAAGGAGCAGGACGCACACAAGATGACCCGATTCCAGAGATCTGTCGCATTTTCAGTCACATTTTGAAATTCAGATCATTGAACCTGTCCACTTGGTGGCGAAACTGGACCATGAGAATAGTTTCCTAAACAAGCTAATCCGCGAACGAGCAGAATAGCGGGTCCCTGTATATTAATAAGAATGCGCAGGTAAGTATCCTTCAAAGCAGATGGTCTTCATCCAGTGCTTAAAGGTACAGAGGCGAATAAATTTATTTATTCTGGCGTTTTGAACACTGCAGTTGTGTGAGCTACCTTAAACTTCACTTACCATTTGGCCTACCGGAAGTATTTATTTGATGTTAGCTGTATTATCAACCTTTTGGCACTGAATCGATGTAAATCTGAGAAAGTACATGTCACATTTAATATATCCATAATGACAGAAACCAGATCATTTATATATTACCCCAATTCTGTTAAGTGACTGTCTAAGTTCGCTCCCTTAAGGCGGATCAAGTATGATCCGAAAAAAAGATTTTGCATTAAACAAGCTTATTATGAACGCCTTGTTTAGTTATGTTCACACGGTCAGCGATGAAAGCACCAGAAGGAATACGTGTTCGTGGGAAAAGCGCTGGTGGTGAACGCGGTTTAGCTTTAGCGTTCGAAGAACAGACATAAAAGAAACGGTCCGCTGTTGAAAAAGGCTGGCCGCGAAAATTTTTAGGATGATTTTTGTCTTGGACTTGTCGTGACACCTATTAGCATTCATAATAAAAACAGTTGTACGGTATGGCAGCGGGACGTCTCGTCCACAAATGCCTATCAATCTTCAAGTGGCTGACGCAATAGGCCTCACCGCAGACCTGGGTTGCTACACTCGCAGTGCGGTATTATTCCGTAAGATTTTTACATGTCATTAAGCATACAATTAGTCTCACTACCTTTTCAACTGCATGACTTCCTATTCTCTGCATTCTGTTTAAGGTATAATTTTTTAAACGTTCTTTAGACCATCCTGGACGCCAGATCATATCAAATAACGTAAAACTAATCAGATACGAGATTTTACGGCGTACTGCATGACCCTCTTGCTCTGACACCACACGTGATCAAATGCAATTATTTAGTGACCTGCCTGAATGGCCCCCAAAGCAACTAAGCGCAACCAGTGTTGTAACATGCCGTGAAATCTGACCTTGGAGGATTTATGCGATATCTGATCAATTTATCATTGCACTATTTTATACGAAGATCCTATTATTGAACATCCCTTATGGTGACCTGAGATCTCCTAGTCAAATCGCAACGAAGTGATTCTGTTTATCGATTTTTTCCGCAGGACCATCTTTCGCAGCTTCCGTGGTTTAGTCACCGGGATTATCTGTGCCAAATCAAACACCGAATCTGCAGCTATCGTTTTTTCTAAGTGATGGTCACCATTGTGCTGACTGATAGTTGGGTGGGAGAATGAGTAATGGATCGCAAATCATAACAATGTCGCAAGCATTGACAATCAGGAGAGGATTAAAAGGAGTGGCAACCGTTGTAATATCAATATCCCCTTCACGTTTTTGATCGGATGACGTTCGTAGTGTTCAATGCAATGTCTACAACACTGTAGTCGGTGTGCATTCTGCTGATTAATTCCCACCCATTATTACATATTTATTTGCTTTGGAAAGTGAAAAGACGAGCGACGTGGCCGATACTCGAACCCAAAGTCTTTCGAGAGAAAACCAGCCTGATGTTCTACCGACTGAATTACCCTGAATTTTCAATAGTGACTGATCATTTCGCAACGAAGATCAGCGTGCATTAAAGTCCGTGAAAACAACCACAAACAGAGCCCAGGGCGGAAGTGTAAGACTGACCGAAACTGTAACGCTCACGAGCTGTCCTTCCTCCCTTCTACCGTGTAACGGCACTAAAGATCTCATTATAGTTCTAATGCTCCATTATGCCTAGCGAAGAAGTATGCAGTTCAACTCACTGTGCTTACTGCAACTCTGAGGATATCGACCACAAGCTGGCACTGCTGCGACTTTCACATTTAATCCCAAATCAACTATGAAGATGACCATCGAAAAATTGCTACGAGTAGGCGCTGAGAGAATCGAATCCCTCTCGTGTCATAGCCTAAACAAAGAACCCACATCCAACTTACCGATAGGAGGAAAATTTCTTCGATACGTAAACCAGATTCTGGACTGGACATCTTTCTTTAATTCGCTGCATTCTAAAAAAGCAAACAGCTGATTAACTTTATTCAGGTTTATGAATAAGCAAACTGGTGCGATGAGCAGAAAACGAAAAAACTGACTCGCGTGAACAGTCCCATTGGCACTTTCCATTACATTATAGCTAATGATAGTATAATCACATTAATAATAAAAGCAAAGTACAGTTAACCAAGTGCTGTTATCCCACATACACAGCGAGATATATCAAATTAATGGTAACCGGGCAGGGGAACGGATAGGATTCTGGCACATTTTGAAAAATGAGCTAGTTAGCTCTTCGCAACCTTAATGCTACTTTTAAAAGCAACGTTTTACAAATAATTTGCAAGCTCGAATACAAGTGAGACCAAAACGAAGTCATTATCTACAAGACTGCCATACGCTGTGCCCCCTGCCCTATGACTCAGAATATGGTTAAACTCACGACCCGAGTATCGTCGAAGATGATCATAAAACATCTAAACACATACATACATATACAACACAAACAACATACAAATACAGCATTCAACCTGAACTCGACAAACAGTACTGCGGTGAACAAACAATACTGTCCACGGTGTATGACGTATGTCTCCCAACATATCCAAAAACAAAACCACTAATTCAAACAACAGCAGCGGTATCGATAGCTCCCCAGAACATCGGAATTCCATTTTGTCATCCTA